GAGTTCTGACCTCTGTCAACGATCAAGAATCAGGGACACTGTCTCGTTTGCCAAGCTGTCAAAAATCAGATTGGCTGGACACGTAATGCGATTTGGAGAGGACTACTGGACTAGAGCCATTATCAACTGGATTCCACGGGACATCAAAAGATCGTGTGGCCGCCCACCTACGAGATGATCAGACTTCTTCGTCAAGACCCTGAATGATCAGTTTGAGGCTCTTCGTGTTCCTGGAGCGAGCAGATGCCATTGGGCTACACTAGCATGTGACAGGGATGAACGGAGATGTTATTGGCATCCGCTTGAGCAAATCGATGAATAACCGGATGTCAAGTGATCAAGTGTTCAAGTTATAATAAATATGGGTTCGGAGGAATACTATAATGGGGAAGACATTTGCCTTGCATGTGGCCAACTTGAGTTTGATTCCACATAGTACCCTAATTCCAACTGGATTGGTCCCTTAGAGCAGAACCAGAGTAAGCCCTGAGCACTGCCAAGTGTGGCACAAAGACGCCCTATAAAAGATATATGTACATATATATATGCATTTTATACAATAATCATTCAATTATCATAAAAATTTAAGACAAGCAGGAGTCCTTTTTTTCCAGTAGTTATTACCAATTTTCTTTAACAATCAGAAAATTTAAAAAATATGAAAGTAAAATAAATTGAAGTTCTGTACCAACAATTACAGCCTATAGCTTATTTAACATATTATGCAATAATATTTAATACTATTTTGCTGAGGCCCAAAAGATAGTACAGGGGTTAAGGTCTTGCATGTTACCAAAGCCAGTTCAATACCTGGCACTACTGTCCCGAGGGCTAGAAGTGATCCCTGAGCACAGAACCAGAGGTCCTGAGCACAGCTGGGTGTGGCCCAAAATGAAAATAAACATTGAGTTTTTTTTTTATTTTAACAGAAAACAGGGAAAGTGTGCACTGTCATTTTATGAGAATTCTAGATAAGAGACAGGAATATAGAAATAAAAACAATCCAGTCTCAAGAAGGCTTAAGAAAAATAAAAATCTGACTGTCCATATAAAATCTCAAATCTGACTTTGGATATTTCTCTACCATGAACTATTGGGTACCAAATTCAAATAAAAAACTTCATCAGCTCCCTTCCTCTTCCAGCTTGATTGGTGACAGTTCATTCTTGTATTATTCATTACTGAATAGTAGTATACATACAGAGCTCCTACTTCACCCCATCCAAAAGCTGGGATGTTCCTATTAGCTTTTGCTGAGCACCATTATCAACAGGAATAATTCCTGAGTGCAGAGTGTGACCCAAAAAGCAAAACAAAAAGAATACATTAACTTTTTACCAATCTTATAGCAGAAGAATCTTCATCATCTAGTAACCACTATTAAAATGACAGGGGAACTTCTGGGGACAATCCTGGGGGTGGAGTCGTCTTGGGAAAGTCTGGCAGATGCTCAAAACCTTGAAGTGTCACCCTGGGACTCAGCAATTCTACCCCTAGGTCTTTACTCAAAGGAACTAGAATGGATGTCCATACAGACACTTGAACATGCATATCCAGAGCAACATTACTCATAATCATCTAAAATTCCTCATATGCCTGCATAAGCCCATATACTAGGACCTTTCCACTTTCAGTTTGCTCTGTGATAGTTAAATATGTAAATAGGCATGTAGGCTACTGTAGTCATTTGAAGATAAAACTGGAAACCCTCAAGTAACCATTTATTACCATTAAATAAAACACAATTCAAGTATACAATGTAATACCATGCAGCCATTAGAGAGAACATGGTCAGAGTAGAGAGAGGCTAATGTGGTCACCTTGTACAGTCAACAGGGATTTGATCCTTTGTACTACAAAGGGTGCCCTGAGTACTACAAGGATTGATCTCTGAGTGCAGACCCCAAGAGTAAGCCCTGAGCACAGTGGGTGTGGCCCAAAAACCAGAGAGAGAGAGATCATTTTTTTGCTGGTATTCCTAAAAACTTTAAATCTGCATAGAAAACTATGGGAGAGAGACTAACTTTATCTCCCTTGATAAGGTTCATGCAAGGAAATTTGCCTTGCATGTGACCAACCTGGATTTGATCTCAAGCACCCCCTACGGTCCCCAAGCCCACCAGGAGTGATTCCTTAGTGCAGAACCCAAGTGGCTGGGACACTTAAAACATACATGCACTACTTTTTAAGTGAAAAAGACAACTATAAAGGAAGTTGCTTTCTGACAAGGCCTCTGAGCCTTCCCAGTGAGCCCAGTGAAAAGAAATCTGCCTCTTACATCCAAAGTCACCTTAATTTGGCTTGTGCAATACCAATACCTCAAATTGAGACAAACTAATTTAGTATCATTTTTCCAGAAATTGAAAGCTGCCACTGAGAGACAGCTGGAGAAACACCTGGGAAGGCTGGCTTCCTTACTCCAGGGAGCCACTATTTGAACCTGGAACCCTGATAAAAAGAATAGCAGTTTATTTTTTATGATTTGCCAGCACTTTCCTCAATATTCTGCTCTAACATAGATTCACTGGCCTCAGCAAAGCTAGTCATTCTACCTTTCTACTTCAGGAAGTAAGCAGTAGGTCAAAAAAAACCCTCATTTGTGATGAGAGCAACCTAAATTTTCATCAAAAAGAGGTCCTCTATGGGGCTGGAGCAATAGCACAGCTATCTGCTGTGCATGCGTTTGCCTTGCATGCGGCCAACCCCTGTTCGATTCCCAGCATCCCATGTGGTCCCCTGAGTACCGCCAGGGGTGATTCCTGAGTGCAGAGGCAGGAATAACCCCTGTGCATCGCCGGGTGTGACCCAAAAAGCAAAAATAAATAAATGATCACAAACGTAGTGGGGATTTAAAAAAAAAAAGAGGTCCTCTAAATATATATATATATTTTTTTCTTTTTTGCTTTTTGGGTCACACCTGGCAATGCACAGGGGTTACTCCTGGCTCTGAACTCAGGAGTTACTCCTGACGGTGCTCAGGGGACCATATGGGATGGTGGGAATCGAACCCGGGTTGGACGCGTGCAAGGCAAACGCTCTACCCGCTGTGCTATCTCTCCAGCCCCGTCCTCTAAATATATTATTAAATATACGGCTCACATTTCAAGCCACATAAACTCTACTCTGTTTTTCTACTTCCAAATGGTCCCTACTGAAATCTAAGCAGTGACTAAAAGAGAATGAGGAAGTTCTGCATCTACTCACAAGAGCACTGTGTTACCAGTAAGAAAAAAAAACATGCAAAACTGTGTTCTGTGCATGAAATCTGTGCTGCCGTGCTTGAGATAGGCAGGAGAAACAGAGCCTGTTTCTGAGAACATTTTTCCAAAAAGTAGGAAAATAAGTTGCCTCTAGGGAAATTGATTGAGACTAAAAGTTCCCACTACATACTCCTGTGTACATGAAGAATGAACACTCTACCCCTTAAGTGCAATACCTTGCAGTGAAATAAAACACTCTTAGATTTTTTTCAAAGAAGTACAAGTCTCTATGGGTTCTGCCTCTCCCAGATGTACACGCCATGGGGATGCTCAGCTCAGTGGAGCTGGCTTCACTCACGACAGCTCTATCGGATAGAGGGGTCCGGGTATATGTGGGCACAGCCCGGGGACAGCTCCTGTCCGGCGTCTTCCTCCATCCATGTAACAGAGGAAACTTTGGATCTACCCTCAGCATTGTGCAAAATGGAGACATATGCTGAGGGTAGAGCCGAAGTTTCTACTTTTTACATTTTACATTGTGCAAAATGAAGACTTTAACCTCCAGCCTACTCATCAACGGAGGAAAGAATTTCATCTAAATTTGTCTGCACACTTTCTGAACTGAGATTCTGACTATTCGCATTCAAGTGGCTCATATTCACATGTATAACCAACCCCCCTACAAGCCTAGGGCTCACATTCGCACCCTGGGAGAGAGCTGCACGTTCCCTAAACACTGTTTACATGCCAGGTGCTCCTAGTCTCCATATCTGTCACCACATCCAAAGCCTAAAGGTACTTAGGGGACACCTATGGCAAATGCAACAGCAGTCAGGGCGAATCCATTTGCCTCGAGCACTGGAGATTCTAAGAAACAGCTTCCCCAGGACCGCCCTGCTACCTCCTCTGCTGGCCTGCAACGAGACCAAAGTCACTTCTCTGAATTCTGCGCCGCCGCGCTCACAAACGCCACCCACGCCGCCCCTGTAGACACCGAGGAGCTGGAGGAGGTCATTCCTTAGGAGGTGGAGGGTGGTCCCCAACGAGCGCGGGGAGAGGAAGAGAGGACAGAGCGCACCAAAGGCCGGGGCGTGGCTCTGGGTGCCGGCTGGGCCACTGGGCACGGCCCCACCTCCTTTGAAGCGGCCGAGAGGAGACGGGCGCGAAGCCCATGGAGCCCCCACTGGGAGCGAGCGTGCTCCCTCGGGGGCCGCTCAAGGCTCGGTCTGGCCAGCCCCCACTGGCCGCTCGATGCTCCCTCTGGGGCCACGAAGCCCGCACGCCCCGCAGGCGCTATGGACCCGAACTCGCGAACTTGGAGGAGCTGTGCGGCGCCCTGCTGACGCCTGCAGCCTAGCATGGTGACCTCGGCCGGCGAGCTGGCGCGGAGGGGTTGCAAAGGGATAGTCACAGCTCGGACTAGCGCGCTGCGGCACAAACAGCGGTCCCCGGCGCGCGGGGGCGCGGGTGTCCCGAGGGGGCGTGGCCGGCTGCCACTCTCCGGGGGCGTGGCCAACCGCAGCTCCGGGGGCGGGGCGCGGGCGTGGCCAACTGCCCCGCCCGGCCCGTGGGGGCGTGGCCGACGCAGCTCCGGGAGGCGGGGCCGACTGCAGGTCCGGGGGGCTAGGTGGGGGCCAAGGCTGCAGGTTCTGGGGGCGGGGCGGAGCCGGCTGCAGCCCAGGGGGTGCGAAGTGGGGGTTGGGGGCGGTCAGGTCCCGCGGGGCCGGCCGGGGGCCGAGTGCGGGGGAACGTGCCCCGGGGGCGGCCGCGGGGCCACGCGCTCGCTCGCGGCTGGCTCACCGGTGATGTCCAGGTACAGGTCGTCCCGCTCATCCGGATCGTCCAGGTCCTGCGACGTGGAGCTGCGGCTCTTCTTCGCCGTGGGCGAGGTGGACGAGCAGCGCCGCGCGGAGGGGGGCGCGGCGGCCCAGGTCTGCCGCCGCTCTTTCTTCCGCTTCATGGGGGCGGTCGCGGCCCGTCAGGGGTCCACGACCATGGCCCCGAGCGCTGGCCCCCCGCCGGGCACGGAGCGGTCGAGCCCCGCCGGAGGCGGCCGCGCAGGAGCCGCAGGACGCGCCCGGCCCGCTGGCCCCGGCCGCCGCGGGTCGGGCCCCACAGCCCGGCTCGGGCGCCCCCAGCCCGCCCCCAGGGCCCGCAGCCCGCCCGCGCGGCCCACGCTGCCCGGGAGAAGCGCGCGCGCCCACCGGGACCCCCAGGAGGGCTGTTCCGAAGAGCTTCATTCACAAAAAAAGGCCCACAACCCTCCTCGGGGCCGCGATCCCGGGTCTGCCATTGGCCGGGCCCGCGTGACGTCACGCGGACGGCGCGTCGCTACAGGCAGGTACTCGGTGACGCCATAAAGAAAGTCTGCGCCCCGGCCAGTCGCGAGCGGGTGTCTCTGGCCGCCTGCCCGTGGAACTTTCTGTGCCCCCCGCCCCTCCCCGCGGCCCGGGGCAGGACCCCTGCCCGGTTTCCTTTAGGGGGCTACTGAGACTTGCCGCCAGCGCCCCCGCCCCGCCCCCACCAGTTGCCTGACTGCGTTCCTGGGCATGTGGGCTCTAGGGAGTATTTCTCGGTTGTCCTTGTAAGGGGCATGGTTTGGGGTGGTGTGGACAGAGTGCCCGCCGCCCTGCAGACAAGGAAGACTTGGTCTCAGAACTGGAGAGCTACAGTGTAAATCGGCCACGTTCTAGTTACCAATCGTTGCCCAGCCTTCAAAGAAATCAACCCAGAGCTCCTGAATTCAGGAGTCGGTAAAATTGCTGGAAATATGATATAAAGTAATGGCTTGTGCCTCAGTTTCTCCTCTCGGAATCCTGTACCTTCAATTAGCTCATTTTACACAGCAGCTGCTGTATTTTCCTTAGCTATGGTGTCGTCACAGGTCCTCTGAACTACTAAAACATGTGGCAAATTTAGTCCTTGCACTGTATTTGAAAACTGTAACCAGACCCCTTTTTTCTACTAGATTAAAGTATACCAATCTTTCTGGAACATAAGCAAAACTCCCCGTTTGGAGGACATTTAAACAAATTCTGGGGGCTGGAGCGATAGCACAGCGGGTAGGGTGTTTGCCTAGCACGAGGCAGACCCAGTTCGATTCCCAGCATCCCATATGGTCCCCTGAGCACTGCCAGGAGTAATTCCTGAGTGCAGAGCCAGGAGTAACCCCTGTGCACCGCTGGGTCTGACCCAAAAAGCAAAGCAAAAAAAAAAAAAAATTCTGGTGATAGCACCGCGAGGGTTTGAAAATTGAATGAAAGACAGTCTTTAGATCTCATGACCCCAAATTTCACAACTTCAAGCAAACTGTTTCCAATTTTCACTATTTCTAATTTCATCATTCATTATTTTCAAGTTTCTCCTGTAATTCCTCAATTACGATCAATCTGTTCAGAGAAAACAACCTGACTTATCCATGAGGAGGCCTGTTAGAAATGCACATTTTCACAGTACTTCCAGTAGGAACTATTTAATTTCCATAGTTAGAGACCATTTTTTTAACCTTTAGCCCAGCATAATAAAGAAGAAAGGTTTTAACAGTCTGGAGCTTAAAAAATAAAAAAAACTGCCAATTTTGTCAGAAATTTTGGAATCGCATTCACTTTCTACTAAGATTTCTTTTTTAAAAAAATTGATAAATTTAAAGTGGTCTAAGTTTTGTCTGTAGAAAGAGCAGAGAAACAAGTGACTTGGGGGGGGGGGGGGGTAAAGTGCCCTGCAAATGAGTCTTAGTTTGCAGGAACTTACTGATCGAATGTTCTTGGTTTCCTCGTGGAAGCTCAGAAACAGCTGTTTTGTTTGTTTTGGTTTAGGTTGGGTTTGGGGACTACACCCAGTGCTCAGAGCTTCTGGCTCTGCAGTCAGGAATTGCTCCTAGCAATGCTCAGAGTCAGATGCGTACCCACTGTACACCAGCCTGTGGTTCGATCCCGGTGTTGCTGGCAAATAGATAAGAGGGCCCTGGTAATGAACTTTTGGGAAATAATAAAATTTATAAAGAAATTGCCCAACCCTGACCTGACAGTCCAAAGACATGAGGAACACACCCTATTAAGATGCAAATCCTGAGCTCTTCTGAGAGGGAAAAACAGAGGCAAAACTCAGAGAAGGGTGCCCCCCTAGCACAGAAGCATCTAAAGGCCAAGATAAGAACAGAAAAGGACCATCTAGATGCCCAGGCCTTCCCTGGGACTACACTCAGGTTAACTTTTATATAAAGAATTCCTGAGAATTCCTGACCAAGACAATTTTCAGGAATTGTATGTGACCTTCCAAAAGTAGTTCTCTGCTTTTCCACTTTGGAGAAGCTCATGTTGAAGTTGGGGGGACCCCCACCGACTTATGTGAGATGGAGAGGAGAAAAATGGTCACTTTCTCCCAATCTGCCATCTCAGGACCGGCTGGGAAGGTGGAAACAGTTTCTTCAAGGAAACCTCCCTTGCTCCCCACTTTACCAAGTCATCTTGCAACACTTGGTATCCTATATACTTCCCAAAACCCATCAAGAGTGATCCCTGAGCATAGAGCCAGGACTTATCCCCAAGCACTGCCAGGTGAAGTCCCCAAATAGAAAGAAATGAAGGAAAAGAGTCCTCTCAACTGGGGTCTCAGCCCCCCACCAGGATGTTCCAAGGATGAAAATCTTGTAAACGGGGGAGGGATTATGAGGAGGCTACGACTAGAGGCTAGAGGCCCAACAAGTAGGATTGGGTGGGGGTTGGTGGGGGGGGAGCGGGAATGAATCACAAGGAAGTGAGGTCAGAAGCGAACTGCAATCGGAAAAAAGCTTGCAATGCTCCTATAAGTGATTTCTTTCCTGGGTAAATTTACCATGAGAGATGCTTATGGAAAAATGTTTTTTTGTGTATATTTCAAATAGGTCCTATACCTAAAAATATGAAAGGTAAAGGCCCTCCCGTTGATCGTCGATTTGCTCGAGCGGGCCCAGTAACGTCTCCATTGGAGACTTTGTTGTTACTGTGTTTGGCATATCGAATACTCTCGGTAGCGGAGGAATCGAACTCGGGTCGGCCATGTTGGTCGCTTGTAAGGCGAACGCCCTAGAGAACCTGGCAAGCTCCCCGTGAAGTATTCGATATGCCAAACACAGTAACAACAAGTCTCACAAAGGAGACGTTACTGGGCCCGCTCAAGCAAAAATATGAAAACGTCATCTAAAATTAATGGAGGGCCAGGACCATAGTATAGCAATATGACGTTTGCCTCCTAAAAGAATGACCAGACTTCAATCCCCAGCGTACCTTATGTTCCTCCAGCACCTCCAGGATTAATTCCTGAGTGCAAAGTCAAGAGTAAACCCTGAGCATCACAGATGTGGTTTAAAACCAAAAATAAATAAATACAATTAATAGAAAGCTGGTCAATAGATACATGATATTAATGTTGAAACATTAATATAAATATGAGACACCACAAATTTCAGTTTTAGTCATAATTTTTTTTCTTTTTGGGTCACACCCAGCAATGCACAAGGCTTACTCCTGTCTCTGCACTCAGGAATCACCCCTGGCGGTGCTCAGGGGACCATATGGGATGTTGGAACTAGAACCTGGGTTGGCTGCATGCAAGGCAAACACCCTACCCGCTGTGCTATTGCTCCAGCCCTTAGTCATCATTTTTAAGGTCAAATGTAAATAGAAACTAGAGAGTGACAGGCACTGGTGATGTAGGCAGGTAGACAGGGAAAGGCCCTCGGCAATGAAACTGAGGTCAACAAAACTTCTGAGAAGGAAAATTTTAAGACTGATCCACTCTTGGATACGGGAAAACAAAGACCTGATTAAGACCTTCAGCCGACCCTGTGGAGATTGGACCCCTCCCCATGAAGTCTTCTCCTCAAAAATCCTGGGACCTCTCCCTTAATCCAATTAACTTCAGTGATTCAGCCCAGAGAAGACTCCAGAACTTCCTGATCAAGACAACCTGAGAAGAGCCTGTAAAAGCAACCTTGAACAAAGAAAGGGTGCGCATATGGTGCCCGAGCCCATGTGGTACCTGAGCACATGTGTTACCCACTCTTGAGATGTGTACTTTCATGCTTTCCTATCTAATGCTGAGATCTGTGTAGGAATCTCTCTCCACCCTTGGAGAAGCCTGCGTTCTCTCTTGAGCGCTTTACTCTCCCTCCCTCTCCCTCCCTCCCTTCCTTCCTCCTTCTCTCCCCCCCCCCCCCTTCCCTCCACACTTTCAAAACACCCTCCAAATAAAATCTGTTTTACTTCACGGCTTGTCTACTCCTGAAATCTTTTCTGGGAGCGAGACAAGAACCCAGTAACCCTAGGTCCCGGGTGGCAGAGGCAGATCGGGAGAGAATGACCTGTCTTTCTCCTCCCAACTCATGTGAGCCACCCGTGTTGTCCACCGACATCACTGGGAAACACACAACCCAGAATTTTCGCTGGCATATTTAAGCATAACTGGTTTTAGTTCCTTGGATAGTCTGGTGATTCAACATTTATCTGAAATTCACTTCATGTTTCTGACACTATGACTGAAAAATTCTTAGAATTGTAAAAAAGGAGAAAATGAAATATTTATTGCACTGCTATCTTTTCTGGATGCAGTATGAGGACTTCCTACGAGACATTGTCATTCTCTTAAGTTTAAGTGAGGGACCACAGGGTTGGTTGCCTGGTTGAAGGAGGGCTTTTGGATTGGAGTTTTGTTTGAAAACTCATGTTTCACTCATGTATACCCCAAATATAAATATATATATATATAAAACATTTGCCTTGGGGTTGGGATCACACAGATGACTATGCTCAGGGATAACTCCTGGCTCTGCACTAAGAAATTACTCCTGACTATGTAGCTGTTAGAAAAGACGAAGTCATGAAATTTGCACACAAGTGGTACTACATGGAAAGTATCATGTTAAGCGAAATGACTCAGAAAGAAAGGGATAGACATAGAAAGATTGCATTCATCTGGGGAACATAAAGTAACAAAATAGGAGACTAACACCCAAGAATAGCTGAGATTAGTACCAGGAATTTTACTCCATGGCTTGGAGGCCAACCACACATGCGAGGGAAACAGGGAGCTCAGATAGAGAAGGGAGCACCAAATAAAGGGTGTTGGGAGGATCCTCCCAGGATGGGAGAA